AACTTTGATATTGCCTTGTGCAAGTAATGAAAATTTTTGTAGAATAGCACAAGGAATAGTAAAACCCATACCATCGAGATGAAAAAACTCGCTAATGTTATTAATTCAACTTGGCTATAAGGTCTAAAACTTGGGTCTTAATGTCATCTCTACCATGATTTCCTTAATATTAATCTAATTTTTATAATTGAAAGGGATATTATGAATTTTTTTCCTCTGTGGTGTACTAATAGAAGTATTAATTGCGTATAAGGACAACAATAATTCACAAAATCAAAAACACATCGAAAAACAATAATTTCAATCGAATCTTAATTCCACAATCTCAAAAAAATTGCTAAATCAAATATCAAGCTCAATAAAAATTTGTTGAAAATATCAACAACTAAAACAATAAAAAAGACAAACCCGCAAAAGAAAATTTGCTTGCTTGGACCATATTATTATTATTTTTTTGGTCGTGAGGCCCAAATTGTTAAAACAAAAATTAAGCATTATCCAAACAATCTATTCAAAACCCTAGTCAAAGATAGATAACCACAAAAAAATCTCGTCAGAATTAAACTCCAACACAAGAAAGCCACTTGGAAAGATGAAAAACAACTAAAGAAGATTTTAAAAAAGAAAATTAATAGCATACATTGAATGAGACACACCAACCTAAGGCATTGTAGCCCAGATGAGTCTAGTGCTTGATTTTATTTGGTTCGATCTCATTTGTTGCAGATTGAGAAACATGACTCATTACTACGTAAGTGATAATGATTCACTGTTGTATGTAAGAATTTCTATATTTATTTTCCTTATTTAGCAATGTAGACAAACCATGAGAATGAGAGTCAGAGATAGAGAAAGAAAGGGAGATAGGCAAGGAGAAACAGTTCGATTAAGGTGTGGAATAATGATGGCTTGAATTGATTCATCACGTATTCATTTCATAACACTGTGTTTGAGAAAGAATAAGAATATGAAAAACTTAAAATAATTAATCAATATTTATTGTCATTAAGTTACAATAATTATGATGAAAGATAAATTTAATAGAATTGAAAGCGTCTAAACAACGTAAGATATAGGCATAGATATAGATATATAGATATATATACACATTGGTTTTATGGTGATTATAGTATAGATGGAGGATTAAAAAAAATTAAAAGTTTTTTGGGTTAAGGGACTTTTAAGAGTAGTATAGATATAGATATAGATATAAATTATAGAATATATTAGTAGTATAGATAAGATGAGATTGGTCAAGAAAAATGAAAATTAAAGGTTAAAATTAATTGTTAAAACTCAAATGAATATAATTAAATGTTAAATTTATACACATAATTAATTTAAGAAGATGAAAGGATATGAAAAGATTATGAAACTAACTGTAAAAAAAAAATGAGAGGATATAATTGACTTTATAACAAAGATTAAGGGTAAAATATTTAAACAAAAGTTTTTCACTTTTGTTGATATTTTAAAGTAGTATAGATATATAAAATTATATATAAATGTATTGCTAATAAATGAGTTTAAAAGAATTTATGAGTCTTTATATAAGAGTTCAAAACAAATTAAAAGTCAAATAGGAGTAAAAAAAATAGAAATTAAATGAAAGCATATAGGTGGATATAATTGATTTTATTATAATAATTAGAAATAAAATTAAAAATTAAAAAAAATATCACAAATGCTAACATTTATAACATTTTGGTGAGTATAGTATTACTTGGGTAACACTGCTTTGAAAGAGACAAGGACATGCCATATTCAGTGGCAGCTCTCATGGACCAGACTTCCACAAGCACAGCCGCACCCTCTCTTTCATTCGGCCCAAGTGGATACCCTGTTTTGCATGCACTTGAATCAGAGTTATTGACCCTCGTGGTGGGGAGGTCATCCCCTAGTCGGCATGGTGGTGACTTGAGATGGTGGCAGTTAGCATGGTGGGAGTAATCTCCCGGAAGGCCACATCACCCGGGTTGGGTTAGGGCCAAAACGAGGACGTTTGGGTTTAAGGGAAATAGATTGTGATGACTCCATCTAGTTGATTCGAACTTCATCGTCCCCTTCTCTCCCCTTCTCTTATAATAATATTTGACCCCATAAAAAAAAAAAGGTACAAAAGTGTGAGCTTTGAACTTTCACTATACAACGCGTTTTAAAGTCGGCTAGACCCATATAACAAAAATATGTTGACATGAACCACAATATGCACGATACAATACAACCTATCCATAACAAGAATTCCACTATACACAGTTACGCATAAATTCTCATAGATATAGCAAATTTCAATACAATACAACTTAGAACACCTCAATAACTCACATGACATCTTTTTGCCAGTCCTAGTATTGGTTTAGAAGTCATTGGTAGCAAACAAAAAATTACATCATAAGGCCAAGAAACAGTAAAAAGATCACAAAAACTAGTCTAACACATTTGGTGCTGGTAATTGAGGGCATATCCAACAGGCCTACCTTGTACAACANAAAGATCACAAAAACTAGTCTAACACATTTGGTGCTGGTAATTGAGGGCATATCCAACAGGCCTACCTTGTACAACATCCCAGCATTGGGCCTACAGAAAACAAAGTGGGTTTACCTTTTGCTTTGGGCCTTCCAGCCACAAGGCCTACATTTTCCACACAACAAGGGAATGAATCTGCGCCAACAGGGAAATAAATGACACAAGACCATGATAGGTTGCACACTTATCTCTGCAGATCATCTACTTGCATGTTTAAATTGTATTGTTTNCCAACAGGGAAATAAATGACACAAGACCATGATAGGTTGCACACTTATCTCTGCAGATCATCTACTTGCATGTTTAAATTGTATTGTTTTTATATTAGTATTAAAAATCTTTCAATTGTAACATAATTTGTTTAATTAATCGTATCAAATCATCCGACATGAATATGACTCTACTCTAAAACGGATAATCCGACATAACCTAAGTAACACAATTAATACATCGATTGTGTTTAGATTAACACGATCTATCTAGTACATTAAACAAACACAACTCGTATTTGACATAACTTAAATCAAACCAAAAAAATGTATTTCACATAAGCAATTACCTATTTTATCCCTTTCATTCACATTTTAGACCTATTTAACCTAAATCAAACTCAAAAAAAAAATATTTAGCACAAATAACTACATAATTAGCAGGTTAATTTCAGGTTATGGCGGATCAATTTTGGGTCATTGATGGGTCAATTTCGTATTAATGTCGACATGATTAATTAAACAGACCAATCATGGCCCATTTACAAACTCATTAGCTGGTGGTGTCATTTTTCTGTTCCCCTAAACCCAATTTCATGTAGGCTTATGTTCAATTTCACTGTGGTTTTTGAATCCATCTTATTCAAGTGGGTGCGTCTCTAATACACGATGGAAAATCTAATACTGAGAGAATATAATAATGAAATGAATCCTAATCTAATTTTCACTCTTACAAGATTATTCTTTCACATTTCCTCTAATCTAATTTTCACTCTTTCACTAAACTTTGTAACCAACATTTTCTTTAGAAGTTAAATTATCCATGTTAAAATTTCTCTTCTTTTTTTTTGTGNCTAAACTTTGTAACCAACATTTTCTTTAGAAGTTAAATTATCCATGTTAAAATTTATCTTCTTTTTTTTTTGTGATAATAGAAAATTATCTCAATTACATGTCTTTCGAACTCATGACTACACAATTCAAGCTGATGGTCTAGCAATAAACCGTAACTATTTAGGCTCGTCCTTGATTCTCACGTGATTATCAAGCAAAGTTCAATCCACTAATATAATTTGTTACTCGGTTTTGATGGTACTGTAGTGACGAACTATTCTTCCAAGTTAGTAACTATGATTGAGACCAAACATTTTACAACAAGTAAAACTCTCATGGTCACGCCTAAGAATGATTATTACCTACTGATCGCCCTTTTCCCCCTTTTCANACATTTTACAACAAGTAAAACTCTCATGGTCACGCCTAAGAATGATTATTACCTACTGATCGCCCTTTTCCCCCTTTTCAATGACCAACAAAAAACTCGTGACTACAAAGTAAACCTCAAATATACATAATTTCCTACAAACTATGTTCATCAATTAAATCCTCAAACTCAAGACATGCAAATTTACACCTGAATTCCACCACTAAGGTCATCTCCGCTCCTTATTTAAACCCTTTTAAATTTGAGTAAAAACAAACTCCTATTTTTTACTCAAACATATACCAAATGAAAGAAGACTCAACTTTTTTATTCAAATCAAGGCAGACTCAAATATTTATTCAAATTTTCAATTGTCAAATTTCACCTTCATTCAAATTTGAGTTTGCATTACTTTAAATTTAAATTTTCTCAAATTTGAGTTTGAATTTGGATCAATATTAGAGATACCCTAACCCAAACTCCGAACATGTTACGCTTTCATTTTACCTATAAACTTTCAAATCTCTATATTTTTCCCGCAATTTACAATAGTTATCATTCTAAATCGAAAGAATTGAAATTCTGGGAATCAAGATCTGTCCTCTATATGTGGCAGAGATAACAGGTTAGGGACTATAGAGGCCACATGCAATGCTAATTGCCTCCCACCTGATTAAGACAGCCTTATAAGCAAGAATAATAATGATTACTCTATTGTACATAGACACAAAACAAAATTAAAATAACAATGAAAAGTATGAATGAAGAAAGCTTGGTTGGAAAGCAATGGAGGGGAAAGCTTTTATGGGTCCCACAATACAGGACCTTTTTGCCATGTGAACGGATACCCAAGAAAGATTTCAACTCAAAGCTCACCATCTCCACCGTCCCAAATAAAAGGAAAAGGAGGAATTGAATTCATATTCATGGCCAGAAGGCCCATCTGACCACAACAAAAGGATGGGTGGGTGGGGGAGGAATTTGAATGTGGAAAATGTGGGGCCTTTCAAAGGTGTGTTACCTTTACAGGTGTCCTAGTGGGACCCAAGTTTCACCATTCAAAGAGATGATATCACCTTCTCTTTTCCATCCTTCGCCACTAGAATCCCCATATGATCCCATTGACTTGTAAACATGTGACCATTGTGTGCCTCCTTCAGAAATGTATCCTTATTGGTCTCACCCAGTTCATCCATCTCTTTAGAGGTACCTTCAAGTTGTTTCCTTGCTGCACATGAAAAATGCATGCAATTGACAAGAGCAGCACAAAAAATACAAGAAGTCTAAAGCAACCGGTCAAGATAGCTCGGATGACACTTTCATTAGTTAATACCAAGAGATCCCAAATTTGAAATTCACAAGTCACGAGCCGTTCTAATTGGCTCATTGTGAGTGGTGTGAGAGTGATTATATGCATACTGCATTTATGTAACAGCTAAGAGTCAAAATGGTGCATGGTTGAAACGGTTCTCGATTAGCAAAAGAAAGTCTAAAACAATTCACTCTTAAATTTTTCATGNTTGGCTCATTGTGAGTGGTGTGAGAGTGATTATATGCATACTGCATTTATGTAACAACTAAGAGTCAAAATGGTGCATGGTTGAAACGGTTCTCGATTAGCAAAAGAAAGTCTAAAGCAATTCACTCTTAAATTTTTCAAGAGAAAAATCAACAAGAAAAAGGGAACTGTTTCTGTATCCATACAAAATAGGTAAAGAAAGGCAATCTAAGTAATAACAGCACTCCCTGTTACACAATTTGGCAATGCATTTGAGATCATGAACACACTTTTAGTCAGTTCTAAATGCACCTGTAAACTGACAAAAGGAATGGGAAAGTGAGATTGCATGTTGAAAATGGGGGCACCANATCTAAGTAATAACAGCACTCCCTGTTACACAATTTGGCAATGCATTTGAGATCATCAACACACTTTTAGTCAGTTCTAAATGCACCTGTAAACTGACAAAAGGAATGGGAAAGTGAGATTGCATGTTGAAAATGGGGGCACTAATGTCATTTAGTTAAGACATTAATTAAACATACCAAAAGAATGATAGCAACACATCTTAATCCTATTGGTTTAAGAGAAAGTTAAGGCAACAACTATTTAAAAAAAGCAAGCTTTAAATTTTATAACCACACCATCAAAGCTAGTATTACCTAGTATGCTTGGTAATGCACAATATAATTAGGAACACAAGGACCTTAACATAGCAAAGCAATGGGTCCACTCATCAGAGGGCTGCAATAAGCATTGAAAAGAAAATCTCTCCTCTGCATGACACGGAATCACACAGCTGGCACCCCCCTTAAAAGTAATACAATTTTATATCTGAGGGCTTCTTCTGGTGCCAAGTCAGCATCCAATGTGGAATGAGCAAAAAGAGGTGACAGAAGGTGGGGGAGGGGAGGCGAGGGGTGGCTGCTCTGCCTTTTTCTTTTGAGTTACCACCTCCTTCATTTCCTCTGCTTTTCATTTGCTTTGAAACTTTCCTCTTCAACATTCTTCCCTACTTCAGAATCCTACAATCCACCACCCCTTCATTCCTTAAGAACACTAGCATCTTCCAAAATATCTCTCTCTCAAGGACAAAAAGGATTCATTCATCTCTTTCTGTTTCCATTCTGAATTCTATGATCATAGACTCACATCAATGGTAAGCTTCCTGTTGATTGCGGGTTTATATTTTCTTCATACTAATCCACTGTCAATCTTTGCTTTTTGAAAAGAATAAACTGCCTAATGTCATTTCTTGTTATTCTTTGATGATAGGGAACTCCTGTAAACATTATAGTTGGATCACACGTCTGGGCTGAGGATCCTGAAGATGCCTGGATCGATGGAGAAGTGATAGAAATCAAAGGGGCTGATGCCACCATAGTTACCACCAATGAGAAGACTGTAAGCAACTATTCCCCACTATATCTTTAAAGTAGATAAATTCCTATGATCAAATTACGGAGTCGTTTATTGCATCATTTATGTGGCAGTATTAAAGGATGTAGAATTGATACCAAATGCAACCATATGAGTTTTCATAAGCTTCTACATATGACACGTAGCCTAATATAAATGCCATGAATAGTAATGGTTTTGGGATCTAGGTGATGAACACTAGATAAGAGATAGCTATATGAAATCTTCCTACCATCTTAATCAATCATATCACAACTCGTAAGTTTCCTATTCATGTTAAATGGCACCAGCCATAACAAACTAGTTTGTAAATAAGACAAGATTGTGGAACAGAGAAACGAGAAAGTTGATTAATAACATGTCATTACCCTGTTTGGTCTCCATTGACCAAGGCTGTGAATTTAATAAACCTGTCAACAAAACAAAAAAAATTGAAAAGATACTAAGTTCTGCATAGGAATGTTTCTTTTCCCCGAACTTTATAATTTTTTTTGTCCTTTTCTGTTTTTTCCTACAGCTTTATAAACAGAGACAATGACCTACGGGTAAAAAAATAACAGAACAATTTTCTTCAGAGAGTTGACACCATCTTACTGCAATGACAAAAAATTGTTCAATTCCATTGTATCTTAAACTACGATTAGCTTTTTGAAAATTTTCACAACACATTAGAACTAATGCATCAACCAAATTATTAACCTCTGTTCTACTTTTGGTTGGGAGGGGAGTCTCCAATATGGTAGGGTGCATACAATCTAAAATATCAAGTATCTAACAAATAAAGTATTCTGACTATCAGCTTCCTTGCAGATTGTTGCAGCTATTTCCAGCATATACCCAAAGGACACAGAAGCACCACCAGCTGGGGTTGATGACATGACCAAGTTAGCTTACCTCCATGAGCCAGGAGTCCTCCACAACCTTGCTTGTCGTTTTGCTCTTAATGAAATATATGTGAGTCACAATCTACAATCACCACAGAATTTGGAGTAAAATTGATCAGTGATCCATTGAAAACTTTAGAATACAGATGTACTAACAACTATGAATCCCCTATGCAATGCTGGAACAAGCAGACTTACACGGGAAATATTCTAATAGCGGTAAATCCTTTCTGGAGGCTGCCACATTTGTATGATACCCACATGATGGAGCAGTACAAAGGAGCTGCTTTTGGCGAGCTAAGTCCACATCTTTTCGCTGTTGCTGATACCTGTTTCAGGTATATCATCACAAGATATATATACTGGGTGACACCAAATGGTCTTGCATAATGCATGATCTAATATAATTTTTCCATTAATTCCACACATCAGGGCAATGATAAATGAACATGGAAGTCAATCAATCTTGGTAAGTGGAGAAAGCGGAGCTGGTAAAACCGAGACAACAAAAATGTTGATGAGATACCTTGCATTCATGGGGGGTAGATCTGGCACTGAAGGAAGAACAGTTGAACAACAAGTATTGGAGGTGGGTAAAACTAACTTCATGAAAATATCTTACACAAAACTACAATCAGAACTTACATCTCACTCTTTCAGTCCAATCCAGTCCTGGAAGCATTTGGGAACGCCAAAACTGTGAAAAACAACAATTCCAGGTGAATTAAGAGGATATCTTTCATTTCTATCTTATTACTGAACGCTTCAAACTATAGCCATTTTGTTTTGAAGGAACTTACATAAATATTAAAATGACTGAGTGGTTGTACCAGTCGTTTTGGTAAATTTGTAGAGATTCAATTTGATAAGCATGGGAAGATATCGGGGGCTGCAGTCCGAACATATCTTCTCGAAAGATCGCGTGTTTGCCAAGTCTCCGACCCAGAGAGGAACTACCACTGCTTTTACATGCTCTGTGCAGCACCACCAGAGGTTACTTTCATTTTTTAAATCTGATCCTACATACCACTTGCATGACACACTGTATATAGCTAGCTGAACCACAACATTTTCCTTCCAGGATGCAAAAAAATTCAAACTAGGAGACCCAAGAACATTCCACTATCTAAACCAAACAAACTGTTACGAAGTAGCAAATGTAGATGATGCAAGGGAGTATCTAGAAACCAGAAATGCCATGGATGTTGTTGGGATCAGCCAGGATGAGCAGGTAAGTTCCTCCAGATCAGTGCAAAGACAAAGATACAAAACAAAAAGGCCCTTAAATATAATAAGACTGAACAAAATTGGAATTTCCTTTTGTAGGAAGCAATATTCCGCGTGGTAGCTGCAATACTCCATCTGGGAAACATCGACTTCATAAAAGGGAAGGAACCTGATTCTTCCAAACTGAAAGATGAGAAATCACTCTATCATCTTCAGACTGCTGCCGAGCTACTCATGTCAGAACTCTGCTCAACTTGGCACTCCTTATTGCTCTTTGTTAACTCCTTATGATATATATGTACTGTCTACCCAGGTGTGACAAGAATGCACTTGAGGACTCACTCTGCAAGCGGGTAATTGTCACTCCAGATGGGAACATTACAAAATTACTAGACCCAGCTGCAGCTGTTACGAGCCGTGATGCCCTGGCAAAGACAATATATTCCAGATTGTTTGACTGGTATGCAAACCCTCCAAACCAGCACTTTCAATTGTGACCCTTGTCCATGTTTTATTACTCAAACTACAGACAAGGACACCACAAAAGAAAAACCAGTAGTACTGTTAAATTTTCAATTCTTGGATATCTCAACTCTGGTTCTTTCCTCTAGTCAACCTGAAAAATATTAAAAGAAGGGAAGTATATACAATACCACAAGAAACAATATGTTAAACAATAAAAAAAAATACGAATGATCAAATACTAAATAACTCAGACGATAGAAAACATGAACAGTAGAATCAACAATCAAATTGGACATGTCACATCACTCAGCTGTTATTAAACATAACTTCATATTCGAGTCATCTTAGTGACATGACAAAGTGACACTTGGGCATATAAATACACACTCTTATCGAACCATCATACCCCGCAGAGCCATAAACACACCCCGTAGGGCCACAATCTCATTTTACTAAACATGTCCTAAGTACACTTCGTACATGTACCAATCAATTCCAAAGTCAATCTCATTTTACTAAACATGTCCCAAGTATACTTCGTACATGTACCAATCAGTTCCAAAGTATTTAGCCCAACATATTGTGACACCCCAAAGTCCGGGTGTCTGTAATTATCCGATTGATTATCCATCGACCTGTGTAATACTGGTGGATATCGTGTAATTTGATACCACACCATTATACCCCATTTCTCGGGATCTATAACTTAACAAAATTTGGGCAGAGTCTCTTTTGTACGAGGAGCTCTACTCAAAACGCAACCTGTACAATATTGATCACACCGGGTCTATCTATCCATTCACAATTGCANAAGTACACTTCGTACATGTACCAATCAATTCCAAAGTCAATCTCATTTTACTAAACATGTCCCAAGTATACTTCGTACATGTACCAATCAGTTCCAAAGTATTTAGCCCAACATATTGTGACACCCCAAAGTCCGGGTGTCTGTAATTATCCGATTGATTATCCATCGACCTGTGTAATACTGGTGGATATCGTGTAATTTGATACCACACCGTTATACCCCATTTCTCGGGATCCATAACTTAACAAAATTTGGGCAGAATCTCCTTTGTACAAGGAACTCTACTCAAAACGCAACCTGTACAATATTGACCACACCGGGTCTATCTATCCATTCACAATTGTATAGTCTCAAATACTACCATAATTATTATCAGTACATACATTTATTCGTAAAAGAATAAATGTCCCAAAAGAGTCCCATATACATGCCTTTGTAAATATAAACAAATGTTTGTTACAAAAATTATACAAGGCCAAAAGTAAGTATAAACAAGGGACTACAATGTCAAAATAAAAGCCACAGACCGACTCTGTCGTCAAAGCGGGCCCATGGCCTCGCCTNTGTTTGTTACAAAAATTATACAAGGCCAAAAGTAAGTATAAACAAGGGACTACAATGTCAAAATAAAAGCCACAGACCGGCTCTGTCGTTAAAGCGGGCCCATGGCCTCGCCTTCGGTGGACGCCTGTGCGATACTTGAAAAATGTTCCCATAAAGAGTGAGTCAACGCTCAATAGGGTAACTCCTATAGAAAATACCTCTCAACCTAAATGCATATGGAATGTCACATGCAACAATCATTTGATACATTCATTCAAATATGTCTATTATGATTGAATGTTATAAATCATGTCATGCCATGAGATGAGACTCACGCAAGCAATACCAACCCCGAGCCCCATCCTGA